CCAGGGCGCCTGCAGCTTTCGGCCCTGCCCCATTTTTGGGGGGGGCCCCTCCCCCCCCCCCCCAACTTGTGCGCAGCAGACTGGGCTTTGTGGCCCAAGCCCCACTGCATGTGCCCCCCTGGCCCTCTGCTCCTTCCCTCCCCCACTGACCAACATGCTGGGCTGGGGGTGCACGCACACACACGCACGCTCAGCCCCTGGAGCCCAGGATCAACTTCAAGAGGCTCTGGGTTGGTGACCACTGTACTATAGCATATTTTAATTGTACCACAAAAAACATTTTTGTCATAATTTGTTTGCATAATATTTAGTAGGTAAAAAAATAAAGTCTTACTTTTGTATATTGTGCGTGTGGGAGGTGTGTATGGTGGGGTGTGTGGGGCGTGTATTTGTGTGGGGGGTTTGTGGGAGCATTGTGTAGGTGTGTGCAGACCCCTCCTTCCATGGTGCACAGCCCCTGAATCAAGGCAGCAGCAGGACCAAGTGGGGCAGTCAGGGCACTGGTGCCTGGTGCTGCTCCCTTGCGGTGTGTAACCCCAGCCAGTGCTGTGCATTGGGGTGAAAAATGTAGCCAGGCTGGCCTGCCTCCATTGTGCATGGCTTCCTGTGGCACATGTGCAGCTCCCACACTGGTGCGCGAGCAGGGGAAGCCCTAAGCCATGGCGCTGGCTACCTTCCCCACACCCTGCTGTGAAGGTCCCAGGACTCAGCTTTAAATGGAGGGGAGCCCCAGCCTCTGCTCCCTTTGGAGTCCTAGACTCCATGGCAGGGAATGGGGAAGGCAGCTGGCTCTATCATGCAGGGCCTCCCCTGGTGGCATACAAGTATGGGAGCTGCACATGCACTGTCGGAAGCCCTGTGTAAGAGAGGCAGGCCATGTATGTGGCTGTCTCACTCCTGCCCTCATGGGCAGAAGGGCTGGGTGGGGTACAATTAATTTGTGGGTGCTCGTGGGCTGGATGAAAGTGCCTGGTGGGCTAGATCTGGCCTTCAGGCCATATTTTGCCCACCCCTGACATAGGACCTCATGCACATATATTGACAATGTTTTAGAGGCAAGACTCTGGATGTCATTGTTCCTCTGCTTTACCTGCAACAGGTTAGGGTGTTATGTCTGTGTTACACCAAGGTTGACAGTAGTCATACGTAAGAGTTTAAGTTACAGATTGTATAGGATAGTTTGGACAGGGATGATCCTGCCTCAGGCAGGGAGTTGGACAAGCTAACCTCTGGAGGTCCATTCCAGCTCTACTTCTCTATGATTACATGAAATGTCAACACTGTACTGAGAGTTTTACAGTTTAAAAGACATAGTCCATGCCCTAGTGAACATACATATTTGAAAGAAAATAGCAGATAAAAGCTCCCAAGTATAGGCCTCAACCTTTACACCTTAATATAGTGTTCTGCCACAATCTACTAGAATTCTGTAGTTACGACATCACCAGCAAAACACACTCTAGAACTTCATTATGTGTGAACCAATCTGACTTCAGCAATTCTTGGAGGAAAAACTGTTACATTTCCATTGCCACTGATAGTATACTGAATGAAAATGTGGAACACCCATACATTATATTGCAGTGGGCTGGATTTGAGTCAATACTGAAAATTCCTTTTAAAAGCAGTATGTGTGTCAACCTCTCTCAAAGAAAACAGAAACAAAAGACTGAAATCAGTTCCATTAATTCAGTTTGACAAAGAAGTATATCTTTAGCTAATTTTACAAATTATGTTTTGTCCTTATATTTACTTCTTCATTGCTAGCTCCACTAAGTAATACCCAAAGCCCTTCAACGTAACTCCATCATTACGTGCTACTGCACATGAAGTATTACAGACTAAGTAAAAGTCCAAATTAACAGATGCAGAAAGTATAATTATTAGAGATGCACCGATAGAGATTTTTTGGGCTGACACTGATGGCTGATTTTTAAGGAGCCATACTGGCTGATACCAATCCAATTCAGATATGCAGCCGGGCAGCTTGGAGACCAGCACTGGGCTGGTAAGTCTGGCGTGGGGGAAGGGAAGGGGCAGATAGAGGCCTCTGCAGTGAGGGAGGGAGTGGGACAGAGACAGACGTTGCCCAGTCAGGGCAGGGCGGGGCATGGGAGAGAGCTGCAACTCATCTGGGGAGCAGGAGGAGAGCAGCTCCCACCACTGTGCACACCCCAGGAAGGCACAGGGGGGCCTGTGCCCCAGATCTATGCATAGGACAGAGCAAGCTGGAGCTGCAGGTTGGGATGGTGCTAGACTCTTCCTGGTGGCGGGGCTGGGCTGGGCTGGGATCAGGACAGGCGGTGGTGGCACTGGGAGGGAGGCATTGGGGGAGCTGCAGGCACCCCAAAATTTATCATAGCCGTCCTAGCCCCCCTCTCCCAGCACCACTATTTGCCCTGAGTGTAGCTTGACCCAGCCCCCACTGGGAAGAGCCTGGTGCCAGGTCCCAGCCTCTAGCAGCAGCCCGCCCTTGCCCCATGCACAGATCTGGGGGTACATGCCCCCCGTGCCCTCCTGAGGTGCACGCAGGAGCTGCCCCCCACTTCAGGATGAGCTGCTTGCTGCTCTGTCCTGCACCTGCCCCACCCCAGCTGTGCTGCACCTGCTCCTGTCCCACTTCCTCACTGCAGGGGCCATGATCTGCCCCACCCATGTCCCTTCCTTCCCCCTACCGCTGGGCTGCGCTCTTCACTCCATGCATGCTGCAGCTGCGTGCATGCATGGGGCATTTATCAGCCACATTATCGGCCACATGAGGCAAAAAAGCTGATAGCCGATATTGTCAATTTTCCCTATACTGGTGCAAATCTGATATGGGACCGATGTATTGGTGCACCTCTAATAATTTTGTTGACAAGAGATTGCCTACATGGATAACAACTCAGCAGCAATTGTTGCATTTTTATAGAATGCTAATGCTTCATCCACTGTAAAACACAACTCACATGAAGTAAATATTCTGAATACCCTTAAAGTATTAACATTCTTTGTTACTAAGCTACTGTATTTTGATTCTTAGCTGCATTTAACATCATTACTATAAAAAGCTACACAAGGAGGTTGCAGCTTTTTTCTAATGCAATCCTTATTTGAAGTTGCAAAATAGATCCAATACCTATTACAGCATTAGCATTTTGGGTGCTCTTAGTAGAGGTGCACCAATATATTGGTTGCCTATCAGATCGGCACCGATTAAAAGGCAAATTACATTATTGGCTACAGGCAACCCTCAGACTTATGAGATGACTGGTTCCTGAAAACCTCGTCTTAAATCAAAACGCTGTAATTCGGAACCGATTTTCCCATAGGAACAATGTTATAAAATCAGGGACTGGCTCCTGAACCAAGGCCCGATGCCCTATTTTCACCAAAAATAACCTAGAATTTTGTACTCAATCAATTATAGCTGGAGTAATATAGCTACATTAATGTATTTATATTGTAAATAGCAATCATATTGATTTGGAAGGACTTCTTTGAGGTGACTTTGCTGGACTTTTTGAAGGGTTCTTGGCTATAGTCTTTTCAGGAGTTTTGGCTGCAGGTTTTTCTGGAGTCTTGTCTCTTTTCTTAAAGAAAGTGACCAAGGAAGTTTGGACAGATGTTCTCCAGGGAGATGGGCAATGCAGTGAACTTGTTCACTGGTGCTGCGTGATGTTGGATCAAGCGTCAAAGTCGAAACGGTGTCAATTTATAAACGCTGTCCATTGTAACCCAAAATGTCTTAAGTTGAGGACTGGCTGCATTTGCTTTTTTTGGCTGTTGTAGCTGATAATGTTTACCAATAATTATGCCTTCTGGCCAGGGCCCTGGACACCTGCAATCCCTTTCCCCAGTGGGGCCCCTGGATGCCTGGGTTCCCTCAGGAAGTGGCAGGTTTCCCCTTGCAGGTGGGCAGCGTTCTAGCCTGCTTTGGGCTGCTGGGAGCACGATGCAAGGGGCCGCACATATGCATGTGACGAGGAATGCAGTCAGAGCATGGACATCAGCTCCCTGCAGGTAAGTCTATGGAGGGGAAGAGGCTTGGAGGGGGGCAGCTTGAGGCCCCAAAGTGAGGGAGAGAGGGGGGCAGGGGCACTGCCCAGCCAGGGCAGTGCATGGGACCAAGGACCAGGGCCGGCGGCAGAGAGCGGGATGGAGCCATGGGCAGCTCGTCCAGAGGGTGGGTGGCTCCCTGCCATTACGTGCACTCCCCCCGCAGAGGGTTTTGGGGAGGGGAGATAATGTGTCCTCCCAGATGTAGGCAGGGTGGATGAGTTACAAGCTGTGGACTTGGGGCTCTCTGCTCTGCTTCCTGTCACTTGAATACTGCACACTGGCTGTGCGCTACCTGCCCGCCTGGCAGCAGTGGGGACAGCTAGTTGTGCCTCTCTCTGCCAGGCTGCTCCCTGGGATTGTGATCCCAGGCTCCCCCTTGCACTACTGATAAGGTACAATGGGAACCAATGTGCAATCCCATAACTGTGCATTAGATCTCATTATGTCTTTACCTGTACATGTGGAGGGGCCCTTACAGTTTGCCTTTTTTTCTAGTATGTAGTCTGTTTTCTAGTCCTTCATAACTACAAAGATTACTTATATTGCCAGCTGCTAGGCAAGACTGAAGCTCCTCACCTATATTAAGTAACAAAGGAAATAATTTATTTTGGCTAACTTAAATCCTTTTTACAATTTAAGTCAAAATAAATTATTTAATGTAACCTTTATAAACAACAATTTTACAATTTGCTGCTCAAACATTTTTATAAAAGCAGTTCCCACTTACTCTTTCTGTCCCCCTTCTAAATAATGCTTTAGCACACACTGCATCAGATATTCAACTGAAATCATTTTATCATTACATCTTTTGTATATATCCTACAAGATGTCCAGGATTTCTTCACGTTATGTGAAAGACCCTCTCCATAACTTAACATGGGACAATGTTAAGTGATACAGTCTTGCAAGTCCCTTTGTGGAGAGATGAATTTCATTTTGTAATTGACAGAATTTTGTAATTTAACTTCTACACTCCTCTGGTTTAATTTTTTTTTTATTCAGATGCTTAAACTAAGAGTGAAAGATGAAACATGGTAGTGTGTGAAGTGTTGAACATTACTTAAAAAAAACAACCCAGCAGCATCAAGCTTTTGGGCTCATGTTTTCAATTTTGGTACATTCTGAGAATTAACCATGCACAGAGATGCAGTTCTTTGGGCACTCAAATATGCATTTTCTTAATGCATAGAACAAGTTCTATGGAAAACATGTTCAGAAGAGTTATTTATTTTTAACAGAAAACATGAAGGAACTGGATTAGGTGACCCAATGTCCTCTGCCAAGGAGCTGCCAGGCCTATATAACATTCTCTATGGTTCTGGAGTTCTACAAAATTCTAAGATCAGAACAGAAGGAGGACTGAATGAGCATAACTCAGAAAAAAGATGACAGGTGGTAGGAAACCAATGCAAACTTGGGCTCATTGTTCCGGTCAGTCTTAACATTTGTCAGATGGACAAAGAAACTTGCAAGAAGTCCCAAGGGATGAGAGCTGCCCCTAGTACCTACCCAGGAATCCTAAAATTTTACTAAGTAAAAAAACCCCAACAACAAAAAACCCTCATAACCTATAACTAAAGGATAAAATAATTCATGAAAATACTCTTGTTAATATAAGTATTTCAAGCAGGATGCTGAATTAAGAATAAACTTGAAAGAAACCAAACGTTTCCAAGTATAAAAATGTCTAGGTAAGGCACCTACCATTTTCTTAACACAGCCTTTGCAGTTATCTCTGGAAAACGGTAAAGGGGAATATATCTTACCCACCCACTATCTTGTCCACAATCAGATATAACTGTACCTCAAAACCCTGCTCAGAAAATAGAATACTGAAGATCACCATTCTACATTCTTCATTAAGGGTAAAGTTCTGAAAAGTACACAGAACCTACCTAATAGCTGTCATCAAATTCAAGCCAATGGGAGTTCTACCATTTGATAGGAAGAGTTAAGCTAGTGAAAAGTGCTGAAATTCTCACTTTGTAACTGTTCTTTTCATGAATTATACAAATAAAAAGTTCCTGTACTTACACAGCCCTTTTCTAGAATTAGTTTATGAATGTCAGATGCTTAAATAAAAAGAGCAAAAGTTAGTATGTCTGATTTATCAACACACTAACTTTATATGCAAAAATCTGCACAATCTGGATAAACGCACTGTCTTCTCAATCTAAGATTGCTGCTTCCATGGACTGCATGCTACTTAATACCCTTATGAAAAAAGAAAGGACCAACAGAAAGCATGGTGAAGTATGAATGCTGTACCAACGAACTGATTTTGAAACTTGAGATATTCATAACCATCCCATGAATTTCTTTGACTCCTTGGAAACACCCATGATCCAAACACCTTACAGTAAATTTATCATAAAGATAAAGTAAATTTGCAGCGTCTGTCAATTGCTGACACAGCAAGAGACATTCACTTCTATGTGAAGACTACATACAAACCAGTCTAAGTTTAGTCAGTCATGGCTGTGTTTCCTTTTACTTTGTACCTCAGAAAAATGTATAGAGTCACTGTTTATTTAGAAACTTCGAAAGAGCAGGTCTACATGACAAATGAAAATGTTGGCACGCACTAGCACTGTTCAGGCACCCCAATGTTGAAGGTGTCAGGTATTAGCCTGGGGAACATAAAAGGTTGAAGAAATTATATACTGAGGACCTACTTTCTAAAATATATTAATATTAAAGAGACCATAAACTTACTCTTAGCACTGAATTTGTTCTCTTTACGTGTTCTACCAGTTTTCTTTAGACAATTGTCACAGACAAAGCTGGAAGAAAAAAAAAGACTGCTGAAAATTTGGTAAAAATATGCTACCATTGATGTAATCTACTGCTAAAAAATACTGTTTTGCTTTGTACTAATACCAGTAGTCAGAAAAAAGTTCTTGTATCTACTTTCTCATCTCTTTTATATGACGTATGAACAATTTAAGTTCAATCTTAAAAAAAGTAGGCACTTAGGAGCTGGCCAAGTCATTCTACAGAATATTGTACATGCATTTTTCCCCCATCAGTTATCTGCCTTGACCATTTATTTATTATTAGAAATAGTAATGCAAATAGAGGAAATGCCACCTGCGTAGACAAGTCACTCCTTACACATTTTGGCTAAATATGTTTAAAAAGCATTAACACCACCATCAAAACTGCAGTTCATTTGCAGGTGCTTTGCCTCTTTTTACCCCAAAGCAGGCTGTTTGTTAAATCAACAGCAAACAGTTCATATACAGTGAAGAACTTAGGGCTAAAAGACATCTAAAACTACTTACCCTAATGGCCAAATAACATCATAATGTAATACACAGATCTGGTGCATCTTCCGACCACATTCTTTACAATCAACAAAGCTAAGAGGAACAGACAGACAAACAAACAAGAAAAATTACTTACTACAAAAGGTAAGTCAGTTTCCAGATGGCTACTTTTTAATGACAGAACAAGACTACAGTAAAACAATGATTACCCAGAAAAAATACTTCCCTATCATTCCAAATAATCAATATTCTGGGAATCTGTGCTGCCAAATGAGAAGCCACAGAGTCTCTAAGGGCTGCTCAAGCACCAATGGCAGGAGGGTCTCCGCAGGGCTTCTTGACAGCTCACCAATGGGTGGGCTATCAGAGCCAGCCACTCTGTGCAAGTCAGAGAATCTTCCAGTTAACTGACATTCATGATAACAGGATTCCAGATAATAAACATTTTACTGTATATTTCTTACGTTCCCATCCTTACATGAAATTTAAGCAAAATTTACAAACTGGATATGCTCTGCAAGCATACTTGAGGTACAAATATATTCAGAACATACACTGTCAAAGACTGTCAGAAGTGTGAAAGGCCCTTTGTGTAAACTCCTACTTTCTAGGATTTGTTCCTCAAATCATACACTTCATCTGTTTTTTTAACAGCATGTCTGCTGACTTTAGCAGGGAATTTAGTCTTCTGGTGTAACCATGGATGAATAATATTGCTCATCTTACTCCTGAGCCTAAAAATTAGTTCAAGCATTAATGAGTAGGCCAGCATATATGCACCAGCTTGTCTTCATGTCCTGTCTTTGTCTATAACATTTTTTATTTGAAAGTGGAAAAAACAAACAAACAAACAAAACCCATATCTGGTGAGTAGGACCAGTCCAGATAGCTACACTTTTATATCACCAAATGCCAGCATGGGCTTTACATTCAGTGCAGTTTTGAAGAGCCAAAGGGGATCTCTACCTCATACTTTTACAAGATGGGATATCAAATTTTCTGTGTGATGTAAGTAAGAAAAGGGATGGGTTCAGCAAATTAGAAATCCTTCTGATTTCAAACTACCAAACCACATAACTGACTTTTGTGGAATTCCCAAGAGGAAGATGGAAGAAAGAGGCAGCAAGGCTCAAGCAGGTCCTCTTACTTTCACTGGTCAAGCAAACAGCTGAACCAAAAATGAGGCAAGTCTAACTCACCATGAAGAAGCAAATCCAGATCACATCTCCACCCCCTGGAAGATGCTCATTTAAAGGTGCAATGGCATCTGAACCTCTATCACATCAATTGTGCCTTTTGCACAAAATTTTGGAATGATAGGGAAGTACAAAATTTTGGGAATTGTAGGGAATCAGATCCCAATCACACCATATTTACCAGTGCAGGAGGAGCCTTACACCAGCAAGTTTAAAGATAGGTGCCCGACAATCAGCTGATTGTCAGCTCAGCAGGAACTGTACTGGGGTTCCAAACTCCAGTGAGGTTACCACACTCAACCAACCAGAGCTGCTCAGTGCAAGGTTTCAAGTCCTTGGCAGGGGAAGCTAAACTCTGCCTCCCTCTGCTGGGCAGCCCAGCCAGTACTGCCTGGTGCAGGGTTTAAAGTGACTGAGGAAGCCTCTGCTTTCTGCCAACTGGGAGCCTCTGCTCCCGCAGGCTGGGAAACTTGGTCAGTGCTATACAGTGTGGGGTTTAAAATCCTTGGCTGGCCTCCAGCTAGGACAAAATCAACTGACTGTCAGCCAATGGCCATATGCTAAATTTAAGGCACCAGACAAGCTAGCTATAACAAATATTCTACATTACACATGGAACACTTTTATGGCTCATGCACCATTTTATGGTGCCTTCATTTGGGTGCACATGTAGCACCCTTCCTATTTATGCCTCAGTTAACACATTACATATGGAATAAATCTAATGCGTACAGGGAGCCTTAGTAACCACAAAGGTAATTCAACATCTGGAATCAGTACAGTACTCCTATACAGGCAAGGTTGGATTGAGAGGCCTCATGTAATGCAGCATCCCAATGAAACTGAGACGAAATATTAAATAGTATGTTATCCTCCTACTAATTATCGCTATGTTCCTTGTTTTTCAACCTCTTACTCTTTCCCATTCTTGGTTACATCCACTCATTTAATATTATTTTCATTAAAGAGGAAACTCTGCAGGGTCACGGCCTTCAATATATATTTGTGTAGTATCTTGTAGAACAGACTCAATCTATTCTTGTAGATACCTACCATCACATTGTGAAGGAGGGAATTTTCTGAAGACACAGATACTTCCACAAAAACACTTTCATAGATTCACAGATTGTAAGGGCTGGAAGGGACCTTGCAAGATTGTTGGGTCCAGCCCTCCTGCACTTCTAACACAAAGTTCTTCTAACTTTTCTATTTAGATAGAATAACCTTTAAAAGCTTCCCTACCCTGTGCCATTCCTTCTATGTTTTTGTAGTGTAGGAATAGAATCACTTGCTTCTTAGGCTTATTTTCCAATTTTCAGTTTGTGATATAATAGTTCTTATCTATGATAATGACTGCATCTTCCTAAGCTGAGGAGGAACAGAACTTGAAACAGAAAATTAACAGAAGCAGATTGCTACTTTTAAATTGTTGGTTCCCCCACCCCTCAAGACCCTAGATATAAGAAAAAGAAAGGAACACAAGTACCAACTAAGAACTCTGGATAAACAATAAGGAATTGCAAAGTATTATTAAAGTACAGGCACAAATTTTCCTAATATGCACCAACAAAACTGAAATTGATGTTGAACTTCATGGGCAGGGCTAAAAACAGAGATTGTGTTGCCTATTTAAGGTAGAACTAGGGGAAAGAAGGACTATTTTGTCTGTAACCATTTTTTTCTGGAGTTCTTGCCCCAGAAGCAAGTAACAGTTCTTCAGTGATCGCAAGTCACCTGGTTTGGCAGGGGGTGGAATAAAAGCGGTGTTTGTACTTACGGCTCTGGATCTAGTGTATCATTTTTCTTCTTTTCAAACTGATCCTTAGAGATAGTTCTAGAGAGTTAAAATTAAACTTTAATCAGCTTTATCTCACAAGGAACTGCAAGCAAGTAGCCAGAACTCCAAATTTTAACAAGAAAACACAACAGTTATTTACATTTTGTGGGAAAAGCACCATGGAATTCATTTTCATGTGAAAAAAATCCAAATTTCTCCTTGTTAATGTAACTAGTTTATTTTGCATCTTAAACTAAGATAATATGATTACTATGCAAATTTGCACACACCTAGACACACAACCCAAGATCTAGTACATGTCAAAAAAGCTAGAAAAACTGCATTTGATAAAACAGCTATTTTCAGAAATGTTTGGTCTTGCCCTCAAACTTTTTTGCATCTTATTTCATGTCATGTCTAGTATATTTAAAAACAAGTGATAGTAGTTTATTAAAGTGAGTGCTTTAAGACAGCGACAGATCAGAATTTCTAACAGCACTCACAGAAATGATAAGATCAATGCAAAATCATTGCCATTGGTTTATTTTTTTTAATTTTAGAGCCCACTGCTGAAGTCATTAGAACACGGGCAGTTATAAAGGAGTGTGGCAAACTTAAAATATGAAGAGCAAATACTGAAAAACATCAGATAACAAACACCTATCTGTTACACTAAAAATGTCCTACTCTCCTGCAGGTTTACCCTAAAAAGCAGTAACTGCTCTGTTTAATGCAACCACATCAAGACAGAACGTATTGAAGTTATTTTAAATGCAGTATTCAGAACAATCAGGTTTACTTACGTCTGAGGCTGTGAAGGGTCATCACCCAGGGTAACATTCTCCCCCTGGATTTCAGTGAAACACTTCTCACAGAAGTGATACCTGTCAGCAAGAAGGCCATATTTGGGTGAACTGGTCCATCATAACACACAGCCACCCAAGCAACGGAGCCACCAACCAGAGCAGGGTAGATCACCACGACGAAAGGGGGGGCGTTGTTGGTTGATTGATGGGTCAGTGTGGACAATGAAAAGGAACAGAGGGGAGGGAAGGGCAGGATTAGAGAACAGGGAAGGGAACAAACAGCACAGACATAAGAGGTAAGACGCAAACACCAAGACAACACAGAGCAGAAAGCCAAGGCAAAGCACAGATTAGCATTCGGTCTCATTTCATACATTACAGGCCATCATTACTAACAAATGATAGGATGTCAAATTCAAAATTTTGAAATGATTTATCAGTAGCTAGTAAGTGCTACATTTGTATATACTTTAAATTTAAGAATTTGGATTTGATTTTCATTAGTTAGAGAAAATGTTGTATGATTTCAGGCTCAAGGATTAATGATTTCTTTTAAAAAGAATACTGATGTCAAAAAGCCTGAAAAACAACGTTCACAGAAAGTAATCATAATCTGAAAAAAACAAAGAAAATTATGCTAAAAGCATTCAATTATTATTAGTAAAACTTTAAAGGCAGAAATAGCCTTAATACTGAAAAGTATATAAAAATAATAAAGATTCAAATGTTGTTTGGTTTATAAAATTAAATGTGACCAACTGCTCAGCTAACTTTATTTTAATACAAATGAAACCAAATCCATACTCTAGACAAACATTTAACAGAAATGCACTTATGGGTCAGAGTTTCCAGCCATTTATATATAAATATATGTATGTATATATGTGAACGAGATTTTATATATTGTACATACATACAATATATTTCAGTAATACATTAAAGATCTGCAATAAAGCTTTACAAATCGAATGTGAAACTAGTTACAATTTTTGGTCACTAGACCAACTGTCAGCCAATCTATGATATACTCAGCAAAAACAATGCTGTGGTTTTGTAAACCAAGTTGAGTAAATTAGAGGTCTACTTCAAAAGATACAATCTGCATTTGAAAAAATCTAATTATGTAAGATTTTTTGTATTTCAGATGAACTGGAACCAAAGTTATCAGGACTTTATATAAAATGATAGCTAAATGTTTGGAAAGGGTATGAATTCAAACATGAACAAAGGTAACAAGTACAGCCACAGCTATAAAAAGTAGAATGGCCACAAAGGATCATCAAAATAAAAGAGCTGTATGAAGGGTCAAGAGTGAGAAAGAATAAGCAGCAATGGCAGCACAGTAAAATGCAGTTTTAGTAAATCGAACACTAGAACTATAATCAAGAAAGGTAAGTAATAAAAGGCATCAAACAGGACAGTGTCACACTGAACCAACAATTTATGGGGATGGAGATTAATGTGATAGCTTGCCCCTTCATTCAAACACACACTTGAAAGCATTTAAAAAACAACTGTAATCCAGGTGACAGCATTCCAGTAATATATTGTAATGGAGATACCAATAGCTATTTCTTATTGAAATATATGGAGCACAATCTTCTTTCTGTGATGGACAATAACTATCATATCACTAGTAAAGAAAGACATCAAATTTTAAGGCACGTGGAAAACAACCCAAATTCAAAGTGAAACAATTCTTGAACAGTGCCCAGAAAGCACTGGATGCAGCTAAGGAGCCATCTGGTGCTCCCCAGAACTGGAACCAGCTCTATGCCACCCACCTCTAACACAGTTTGCAGCAGCCTCAAGATTGGGAACCATGCATGCAGAGGTGGCTGGATGCGTTTTTACTAGACAAAAGCTTATTTTTAACTCTAGGTAATGTAGCCCATACCAACAAGTTAGAATCCTAATGAATACAAGGCAGTTGCAGTTTTACCCATTCTAGCCAGTTGACATAAACCCTTTCCTTCCTTGTCCTTAAATAGCTGGCGCAAGTTAAAACTGCAACTGTCTTATCTTTACACAAGGATAACAAAATAGGTTGGTTAACTTGATATAGATTAATTAGAGTTAAATGTGTATCTTCTTTCCCTAGTAACAAACAAGGTTTTAGAGCTGAGCTGCTATATCTAAGCAAAAGGGCCAGAACAGTGCAAATCTTATTAGCTCATGCCTGTAATTAAGCACAAGAACATTTTAGGAGTGAATACTGATATTATTTTTTCCTTTGTAATTAAGAAATTGCTCATTTTAATCCACTATCATCTTTAGCTTAGGGGACTCTATATGCCCCTAAAAGATTGAGCAATGAGTATCTGTAAGAGCTCCCCACAGTGAATGTCACTTAAATATTTAAGGTTTTAAACATTATACCAATAAGCAGTCTTCAGTCAGTCTCTCCAGATAATTAAATCTTAACTCATATTGTCAATGTTACCATTCAATCCTGGAAGGTACTGAGCACTCCTGACCTAATCCAGCAAAGTTTACATTATTTTGTGGGATCAAAACCAAAATACTCAACACCCTAGAAAATAGAACTGCAATTTTCCCAAAGGTTGATCCCTATACATGAAATAATTAAAAATGAGAAAAACCAAATACAATGAAAAAGAACAACCAAAGCGTTCCAAATATCTATCTATACAAGCATCTCAGAAGACAACATTTATAGATACTTTGTTATTGATATGGAACTGCAAAGGAATGAAACTGGCTTGTAACTTTCAGAGCTTTCTTTTGCATACTGCACGCCCCAGCACATGTGCACGTGTACACACACACACACACAAAACTTACAGCAGGCATACAATATTATGGCAACTAGAGTCGCACAAAAACAAACATGACATGGTTCTTGTAACACTGAAAAAGAAAAGCTTTTCAAATGCAGACTGTTTAGAGAGCTGATATCATGTTTGAGTGCTGCAAATCAAGGCAAGTGTTAAAACATTTTTGCAGGCACATCTAGAAATTCAAAAGTTTTGATTAAAAATAAAAAATACATATGAAGAAAAATGTATATAATTACAAATTGGAATTGATACCACATACATATGCAGCTAAATCCAAAATATGGTTTCAGAAAATTTTTATTTCCTTTAAAAATTCTAGCCATAACTCATTGATTAAAAAAACCAAATGTCCCTACTGAATTACTATTATTTTTAGCTTTTTAATTGAAATGCAAGGCTTTATTAATTCCACAATGCTTGAACACTGGGGGGAGACAGGCCTAAAATAGTGGCAGGGGGTTCAGGCAGCAGTGTGGGTAGAGGTAAGGGACATCTGTCTGGCATGCAGCCAGAGGACATGTGGCATGTGGTGGGGAGAGAAGCAGATGGGTACAGCTCCCAGCTGCTTATAAATCGGACAGCTCAGAGATAGGTTGTGCTTCATCGCTTGACCAAAAAAACCTCAATAGTGATTGTGTAGGAATACTGAATGGAGACTCAGCATATTTGGGTTTTACTCATGTTGTTACTGATCTGCTGCGACTACAGTGGCCAAGTCACTTTCCCTTCTTACCTTTTGTTTGCCCTACCTACTACAATTGTTAGTTCTTTCAGCAAGGACCACTCACTGTGAGTTTGTATAACTACTAGTAAAATGAAGGCAGGGCAGGGTGCTACCTTAGAGATTCATTCAATCAGAAAAACATAAGCTTTCATAGGTGACAGCCTACTTCATCAGATGAGATGTGATGGAGTAGCATTTTAGGAAACAGATGCAGCATCTGCCAAAGTCGGCTCTTACCTATGAAAGCTTATGCCTTTCTGGATAAATTAGTCTAAAGTACCACTCTGAGCTGCCTTCTGCCTGACTTCAGACAAAAACATCCAACTACCTCTCTTTACTACTAAAATAAAATTGAATTACACTACTGAACAAACAAGTCTGGATTTCAGATGACGACATTACAGCCAATGCTCTATCAAACTATATTCTGTAGTGGACTGAATAATCCTGATAATCTCATACATAAGTAGGAAATGTATGTTTTATTATTGTTATCTATTTTTATGACTTTGGTACCGTAAATTGCCCTGAGTTTTTTGGGGGAGGGCAGCCTCGGAATCAAATACATGATATTAACAACTATCCCCGTTTATTTATTTTAAAATAGAGCCTTCTTTTAAAGGATACTCAACCATCTGGACTGATCTTCCATCTGATACAATCAGTTTAAAATTCTCATGTTAAGAGTACACATTTAAAAAATAAAAGTTTCGCCTTTCTTAGCAACTGTGGGAACACACACCTACCTAAGTGTGTGTCAATGCAAACCATCACATGTTAATTTCATGCTTTGTAGGTCTTTTTATTTGTTCCTAAAATTTTAAATAAGATCAGGAGATCCATGACCTATATTTTAGTTATCTCAAATGGAAAGTCCTTAATTATCATTCATGTATAACAACTCAGTCTGAAGAGCAATGCCCCATCCCCAAACCAACAAGCTACCTCGCCTGAATCACCATCACAAATGAATGACAACTGGAAAAAAAGAACACTTTTATCCTTTATTTTAAGCACAGTCTATTTTGCCACACAATGAAATCCATAAAGCCTACAGAATGTACATAGTAGTGATTTGACTTTGCACAAAAGACCTTCTATATAATACTACCCAGTGCATCTGATAATAGTGGTAGGCTCTAAAACAGTGAAAAAACATGTTGCAGCACCAGGTTATTATTAAATGGCAGTGCCAGATAGTTAACTAATTAGATAGACGTTACATGTGGCACTACAAAATGTCCTACTAAAAAGAAGTCTCTCTCTGAAAGAAGAATATTATTGGGGCAGATCCACCATTATTGAGATGTTACAGATGGTATGCACATCCATCCATAGTCAAAGTTTGATATGTTAACATAAGCATGCTAACTGCCTGGCCGAGAACAACTTGGGAACAAAAATAAAACATAGTATAGGCTCCTCTACTGAGCTACGTTTTAGCTGTGTTGAATACTAGAGCATTATATTTCAATATGATTTTCATAATGCAGAGTCTTGAGAGATCATGCAAGTGCCAACTGTCCAACCCTATTTATTACATAATTGAAGTTAGAAGGCAGTCTGCAGTACACCTCAGAGTTGGCAAGGTTCAGGCTTTGCTAAATCTCTGCTAGGAAGACATTTAATGCTGGGACTTGAAACACTTGGTTTCCTTTTCTGGAGTCCTAGTGAGTTTAGGTTTAAAAAAAACTTTTCTTTTTTAAAGTGACAACTCACTTTCCTCATTAATAATGTTACTCAATATAGCACTGATGGATCAAGAAGTAATTGGAAGTTAAATTTTAATTGCAACAGATGAGGAAAATCAAAAATGTGCTACGCAGTGTATTATTCAAGTGCTTTAATGAATCCTACACTTTGTTTAATAAATGGATACCAACAGAGATTAAATTACATGTTTTTCCTTATTTTAATTGGAGACTACCTTTTTAATTCCAAACTTCCATGGAATCATGGGAGCTTTTATAGAAAGCAAAACTTACAACACACTTAAAGGAAAAAAAATTATGAATGACATTTGCAGTTGCTTACAGTATCCATTCAGC